CATCACCTTACACGAAATAGGGTGAATACATCTCATTACACTGATTTACTGGTAATCTCAAAACCCTACTCACATACGAAGAAAAGATGAAATTCCCTTGGTTTGGGCAAGCATATTCAATCGTGTTGGTTTGACCTCGATTTCACAACTTGGCCGGAGAGACAGAAAGACGTTGTGGAACAAAAGCAGCCCAATACTGTTTCTTCTGTCCTCGAGGATTTATGATGATATCCAGCGTCGGAACGTTGACTTGGTACATTCCCAGACATTGTGCCGGCAGCGTCGGTGAGAGGCGAATCGTTGGCACAGTCACAACTTTTCAAAGTGTCAAGTGACTAATTTTATAGAGGTTGCTCGACCTTGTTTTCGCAACATGGTCACATTGGTAGGAAGACTGAGAGAAACACACCTCGTCCGGAGTCCATCGTTTGCATCATCATTTCCAGAGTAGGACCGTGGACATGGTACATTCAAAGACGTATCGTCGACATCATAGTCGGCATCGTCAGTGAGTATCGCCATTTTTAGCACCACACAACAACTCGTCAAAGAGACAAGTGAAGCTGATCCTTTGACCAAAAATGTGCTAAACAATTGTGATATCTCCCCTTCTGCTCTGGGTTATTCGCGTTTCCGGTAGCATCTTATCATGCCTTCATATAATAATTTTTACCCTTTTTATTTAGATATAGTGTGGAGTGCTCCTTTAAATGACATGACACCTTCACACTCCAACTGTCGTGAAGGGGGGGTAAGAACGACAGTTGGAGTGTGAAGGTATCACGTCGCTCAACCGAGAACATCACACTACATCGAAATAAATACGGTAAAAATTGTAATATGAAGACATGATAAGATGCTACCGGAAACGCGAATAACCCAGGGCAGAAGAGGAGATAATACAATTGTTTAGCACACGTTTGGTCAAAGGATCAGCTTCACATGTCTCTTTGCCGAGTGGTTGTGTGGTGCTAAGAATGGCGATACTCACTGACGATGCGGACGAAATGTTTGGGAATGTAACTTTGGAAATGATGATGCATACAATGGACTCCGGACTGGGTGCGTTCCTCTAAGTCTTCCTACCAATATGACCACGTTGCGAAAACAACGTCAAACAATCTCTATACAACGAAAGGAGACTGCGACCACACAAAAGGCCACACCATCTTGGTCTTCATACCTACTAATCTCTTCTTCATTTACTTTTATACGAAATGATAGTCCCCCCAACAATGTTATCTCAGGAGATTAAACGAAACCGAGTTTCTCTTCCTATCTACGACAACGATAGTTTGGGGGAATTCCTTGAGCTAAGAAATAGAATAGTTGCAAATACAAAATTTCCTCTAATTTCTTCTAAGTCTTCCTACTAATATGGCCAAT